CATCAAAAATAAGAGAATATAGATAGTTCTAGAATGACTTCCTAGGCCGGGCCTCCCAGAAAGCCCAAACTTTCCCGAATGGATTCATATCCGGGAAGTGTGGGACCTAGTCGATTCGAAGGATGGCATTTGTGTACCGGGACCGGACGCGCGAAGAGGAGAGTTTAGGGAAAATAAAGTCAATGTTACTGCGGTTACCGCAAGGGATAGTCATGTGTGAGTACAGAGATGCCGACAGGGAAAGCCTGCCTCTTGGGATCTAAACCATCCGGGCTTTTGAAGTTTTATGGGCCCGAATTAGCCTCATTACTTCATTACGCGCTCTTGTGAAAGCCGCCCGGAGTGGTGTCATGTTGAACTTGTCTGTTCTATCGATGTCAATGTCATCCCGGGCCAATAGTAGCTCTACTATTCCCTTGTGCCCGCGGATGGCAGCATAATGAAATGGAGCTCGGCCATCATTGTCTGGTCTGTCGGGGTTAACATCTCCTCGGGTCAACAATAGCCTCAATACCCTCTCATGCCCATCATGGACAGCCCATGAGAATGGGGTTCTGCCCTTATTGTCTGGTCTATCAGGGTCGACATCATCCCGTGCCAGAAGTAGCTTCAATATGCCCTCACGCCCAGCCTGGGCAGCTAACGAGAACGGTGTCTGACCGTACTCATTTGGTCTGTCAGGGTCGACATCTTCTCGTGCCAATAGTAGCTTCAATACTCCCTCATGCCCTTTCTGGGCGGCCCACAAGAGCGGCGATTGGCTTTCTGATGTGCCTGACATATTGAGGTCGACATTTCCCTCCGTAAATAGCAATTCTACTATTGCCTCATGGCCAAACCGGGCAGCCCACATGAGTGGCGTGTAACCTGCGGAATCCCTTTGGTTGATATCACAACCTTCCATCTCTATCAAAGAACTCGCAAGCTCAACGATTCCGAACATGGATGCGCAGTGTAGCCCAGTGAACACAAAATCAGCCTCTAAAGTCCGAGAGGGGAAAAGATCGAACAGTTTGTCCTCCATAAGGGCCCTGGCAGATATGTGATTGCCGTACTTGCCAAAGAGTTTCATCGCCAATGATTTTGCGCGATCAGAGAGTTCCTTCTTCGCGTGGTTTCCCCAATATAGAGTGGAATACTCGAGAAAGGGAACTTTTTGGATGTCAGGAACAAATGTAGGCGGAATGTCGTCGATGTGCTGGGAATCCAGATAGGTTAAACAGGTTTCCGAGATTGTTGAGTGGGCTCTAGCAAAGAGGTCGGAGCGAGTGCAAAGATATTCTTTGAGAGAGAAATGGACCAAGCGAATATATGATGCTCCCTTTTCGACGACGGCAAGCCCTTGACAGCATCTTAACAATGTTGAGATTGGAGGAACATTGTCGGAATTGAAATCTGGCGACCCAACTTCGACCGCCAGAGCCTGACATAGCTCATCCACGCACAATGGACGCTCCGAGTAACAAATCCACATCAGAGAAGCCATCCCGAGTCTTGCTTTCTCCCCTCCCTGTGCTCTTATGCGCTCCAGTGTCATGCCGTATGCATCGCCTAGCTCAGAGCAATTTGCGATTGCCCCGAGTCTTTGCCGCCTTCGATAGATGGTCGTTTCTTGTAATATGGCGTCGATATTTAGGGATACCAGGAGGAATCTAGAGGTATATCTGTCAGCGGATAGCTTAAGAAGGGGGCCCAGGCATCGCCGCTCATCATACATACATTTCCGAAATAGTTTCGGGAATCTGTTTCAAAATATCGGCTTCCAGGCAATCATCCATCGCTTCTGGATTTGTGTCTTCACCAAGTCTAACCCGGAGATATCCAGTGATATCCTCCTTTCTGGGACTTATGAACAATGCCGCAGCTATTCCCGCAAGACGGCTTTCGACCTCACCCCGAACATGCGCCCTTCCTGTTATGAATATTCGAGTGCCGGGACACCTTTGGAGAATCTGTCTCAGTGAACTAAGGATCTTGAGCCGATGTGCTGCAACACATTCGTCTAGAGCATCGATACATAGAAACGTGCGCCGCGAGGACAGTGCGACCTCCAGCAGCTCCATAATTTGGGAAAGTTGCAATCCTCGGCCACCAAGGAATCGTTTCTGGTCCGTAAAAGCCCGCATTATCTCCCCCGGAATTTCTTCTAACCCGGCAACAATTTGTTTCAACAGGGAACCCAGCATATTTGTTGGGGATTGCTTTTTCTGGAAGGCGTAGTCAAAGTAAAAGCAGGCAATCGAGGTATTTTGTCCAGCTTGATCGCATAGGGTATCCACCACTAGTGAACTAATATTCTGGATTGTCAGCAAGAACATTTTTTGTTGTTTCATCAAGGGCTGTCTCGTCTATCCCACCTGATATACGTCTTGCCTGCCCCAGGGCTTCCATAGCAAAACAGCGTCGCATTGTCGGATTCTTCTCTGCCAACACCATCATGCCAACTCCTAAACTCGTCAGTTTTAAGGAGCCAACCCCCCACGTCAGCGACCCGGCCATCTCTAACGTCCTGGTGTCGGACGTGAGGTTCGAGTGGGGATAACCAGTCCAAAATTTTGGACCTTTGATCAACTACACTATGGTTCGACACACTATGGATATTATAAGTGTTGGTAGTATTAAAAGAGTTCGTATTAAAAGAATTGGTGTTGCTATTAGCATTTCCGGACAGAAACATTTCCTCTTTTCCGTGGTTTTGAATGTAGTAGGATAGAGAGATAGTTGATGGAGCAGAGTCGGTTGGTCGAATAGCTGAAAAGAAGCGGGGTAAGTTTGCGGTCTATTAGGGTTGCTGTTGTCGCTAGGACGCCTCATACCACATTGCACTGGAGTATCATAAGGCCAGACAACTCGTGCGAAATTCCGAGCCACCTTGCTGTGGGAGCCAAAAACCCTGACTTGGCTGGTGCAGTCAAGCAGGAGCATGCACCCCACCCCAACAGTACCGGTATTGGGGAGGTTCAAAGTTCTCAGTACGCTGCGAACCGAGTCCACAATATACCCCGCAAATACAGGTGTACGGTACTACTTGAATAAATGACCATACCTTTGTACCGGTATGCTGCATCCCTCCTCCTGAGGAGGTTTGCTGTGTACCGTAATTTCCAAAAAAAATTACACCTCTACCGAAACACCTGTACTTTCCGTATACCGAGGGCTTTGAACCTCACTATTGTGTAATGCCGTCTGTCGTACCTATAGGCAGACTTGCGGAGAGGATATTCGCGAACGACCACCGTCCGAGTACTATAGTAATATCGCACGTTAGCATAATTAACCGATCATTTGGGGTGCGTGATAACGCTCGATCATCCAACATCACAGCCCTTCCTTCCAATCCGAACCCACAACACCTCTACCAGAGCACAGAATTGAGCCAACTATTGAGGTAGAGGATTGCATTAATTTTACATATATTTCTTTGTAGTCTTGGCAGTCACCCATTGAGAGGTTGAGAGGCCACACAGAGGCCCGTACGGCTGCATCGTAATGCTCTGTTCAGTTAATTATGCTCAAACTCCGGAGCTATTCCTCCCATTACAACTGTCATATGTCCCCAGCTCCCAATCCCCAATCACGCTTTCTGAATTCCTACCTATTAAACTCTATATTGCAAGGCGTTCCTCAAAACAGCCAGGACAGTTGGAACGGAAACACCTTAAAGAAGGTAAGGGCGAAAGCCCTAAAAATGATACCGGGGGTCACTAATATTGAAAGAGCAAAATATTCTCTAGAGCTAGGGCAAGACAAGGTACAATTTAAGAAAACAAAGAACAATTGTATAATCAGATGATTCCCTCTCTGATAATCATGAGACTGTGCGGTACACACAGGTGAATACTTGTCTACATTATCACAGCTTATTTCCCGATGCATAATCCCTCACCACAACTTCCAACTGCATGATATCACCAGGTATCACAAAATCTCAACTCTACTCGAGATATATCCTCCTTTCCATTAACTCAAGGAAGATTATCGTTCCTCCAAGTCCGATCTCACTCGCGGCAATAACTTCCATTTTCTCGAACGTAGTGTTTCTACCCTCACCTACTGGAGGGCGGAGCTGAACCCGAGCAGTTGAGCACCTAAGTGCTAAATCGTGCAGTGATCTGATCTATGAATAGGTATTGCGACCTAGTTTAATTGGAGGCCCTCCAGCACCCGCACGGTATCCTGTAGTTCCACTTCTACGAAAGCAATAGACATATCATAGGATGGTTCAATGGTAGTCGAGTGGAATGTCGGGCTATTTGGCGTCCGCCAATCAACAAAATCTTCGTTCGCTGATACAGTGCGAGTGGGCACTTTCTGCAGCGCACTGCTGCGGCAGAAGATACCGGTATCGGCTCACCGGTTCCTGTGAAAGTGTACTGTGCCTAAGTACCGGTATAGTACTCTGGGCAGGGACAGGGGATAAAATCCGTGAAATTTTATAGAGTGATTGGCAGCAAGCTCAATAACTGAAAATTCGGGCTTAGCCAGTTAGCAGCTTAGAAAATCAAAATTTACCAATTATCTTCTCTCAAGCGCTCACGGAATTTCTTCTCTTTTAACATATATACCCCTGCATGTGTGTATGGTCTATGAACTTCATTTCCACCCCTCCGAAGTCTCATTCACGGACTAGCCTTGGTACCCGAGTTTAACCCCAAACATCCAGGCGGCTCAGCGACGGTACCGGTACTGATTCGCCAGTCCATCTTAAGATAGCCTCCCCCCAGGCCAAATTCATTGAGCAGGAAACCAACATTCGCGCATACCTCTATAGATGCCTCGGATATAAATCTATACGCTAGAAAAAAGGAGGGGTATGGGGATAGAAGCGCTGCCCTCAGGATCAATTGCACCTCTTAGAAAACTTAGATTGTTTGAATGCTAAAAGGCTGCAAAAGCATGGTTCAATTCAACAGCATTAAAGGAGAGAAGAAAGAAATTCGATAATGCGGCAGTCTACCAATTCCCCCCCCCAGCAATAGGTAAAGGACTAACGCAAGAACTTAAACCTTCTCCCCTTTGAGGCCATGCTTCCAGAAAACCAAGTACCCTGCAATGTCACCCTCGTCCCCCTTATAATTATGGAGAACAACCCTATTTTTTACGAAGAGGATAGCGTTAATAACCGATGGCAAGGCGGAGGCAGAAAAACCCACATTCCATCCACGTTCATGCTCTCACCAATGTAGAACTTCCAGCTTCCGTTGCCCTCAAACATTTCGTTCCCAAATTTGGTCGTCAAAACCCGCTGAGCGCCGGCCTGGAACGTCTTGATCTCTTCTGGTGGGGCTCCACTATCTTCAAGGTACTTCTTGACGTTTTTCAAGTAACCTACCAATATAGATGTTAGAAAATTCAAACAGAGAACTGCCGTAGAATCTCGCACATAACGAACACGACAAGGCCGATTAGTATGGCCTTCATTGTCCGCGAGGGCTCTTCAAGACAACTTTGTGTCACGGTCGTTCCAAAGATGTGAAGCCAACCACTCATAGCAGCGGACCCTCACGGTGACTAGTCCTTGTTGTGTTCGTTATGTGCGAGATTTTATAGCACTAAAAGCGCACCTTACCCCTAATGTAGGTCTTATAGGAACTCTTATCAAAAGCAGTCTCGATTAGACCGAAGGAGTGAATAACGTCATTAACAAGTTGTTGCCCATCCTCAAGCTTCTCACCAGCCTCCTCGGTTGAAGCGTTGGCACCAATATCTATGATTCTGTAAGTTCTCTGTTACTAAGAGGGCACAAGCCACCAGATGTGCGTAACAAACCGATGTTGGCGCCATGATTGACCGTGATCATCTTGCAGTCTACCTCGAGCCAAACATCATCAACGAGAGCCATGTCAAAGGCATCAGAGATCATCTCGTCGTTGCTGATAACATCCTGTTTGAAAAATAATAAGTACCATAACGGTTCATCGAAATGTCCGCCGATAGAAAGGGGTGAAGTCCGCCGGGAAAAAAATTTTAACCGGTCCGACATTGAAAATCGCCCCACAAACAGTAAACTTCGTTAAGAGAAAGACGAATGGCCAAGTTTCGAGAATCATTAACTCACTTTGTAAATAATCATCTTTAAACCTGAGGAGATGGTCGAAACTCAAGGGTGTTTGGTGGGGAGAATGGAGAGGGGCAAAAACCACGACGTGAGGGGGTGAAGCGGGGGTTGGTTGACTTGGGAGGGGCAGATGTCGTTGGCCATGGCAATCTGGTCTCTATTTTTTTTTCCTCTTCTCGTTCCCCTACCCTAAATGTGGCCTTTTGCGTTAGGATACCATAATAGAGAGCTTGTGCAGACAAGCCTAGGTGAGAGTTATTAACAATGTTGCTAGAGGTTGCCACTCCCATCAACAGCCCATCAGACTCCCGACAATTGTTGAGTTTCTTAAACTCCATCCATTTAAGCAGTCAATACACCAGCCAATTGTTACATTCTTGAAACTGCTCTTGTCAGGGTTGTCCTTGAGAAGAATGGTCACAAAATCATACCTGAATAGAGGCACAAAAGTGCAGTGGAAGTGGGCATTTGTCTCAATTCCGGGACCGACCTTTTTGGGTTTTTACACCTCAACCAGGTGGCCAAGCCTTGTTGTTAACTTATATTAACATCACCTAGGTCTCATTGCGCAAACTCCTTAATATCTTGAAATCCCCTGTGCTACCGTGCCGGATTATCAGAGGAAATCAGCCCTTGAACCCACAATAGGCTTAACTTGCCAGGGTAACAGAACTGCAAATACCGGTTAATAAGTTCTGACATATCCAGTGAGGCGGTCTCATACTGTTCCAGGAAAACCCTAATCCCTCTCAGGAGTTTTTGCCTCCGAACCCGGAGATGACATGACTGACGGAGATCGTGGATTATACGAAATTTTACTCGTATCATAATATGTACTGTACGAGTAGAGTATTCCAACCACTGACCGTCCACCGTGCAATGGTAAAAAGGTTTACTAAGCCTAATTAGGCTTTGACTATACAAGTAAACGCGGGGAGATATACAAACTTGCGAGAAAAGGAGGAATACTAGGTCAGAAAGGTTAATGCCTGCTCTCTCAGGACATTACAATAGAATTCGATTCATTTGTGTTCTCTCCTTGCTAAAGCAACTTTAGTCTAAACATGATGAAAAAGAAGAAGGAATTAATAATCCACTACCCTGCTAAAAGATTACTCAGAGCTGGGCACTCTTCTATCCGATCATTAGATAAAAAACGCTCACCCCCCCAAGTTTGCGTCGGAAGCCACAACCAGCCGGAACCACGTTCTCCGGTGTTACTCTGAGCACTTCAGCTATCATACCGTAGGCAGCCCATCACACCTAATTGTCATCTTATCCTTCCTTGATCTCCCACCTCAGAATATTCAGAAGGACCCTCATTCATTCTGTCGCTAACCTCACGCGATCCGAATTGCTCGTCCCATCACCGAGCACCTTCACTCCACAAGGTCACTCACTAGAACGAGGACTCTGCTGGCTGTTTGTTCCTTTTTATTATCCCTCCTGCCCTCCCTAACCTTCTCCTTTCAAACCTTAGTCGCTCCTTTATTCCGCCTCAATTAACCCATTCATAACAAACCCCCGACGTCAACCACCCGGTGTACATTTCGTCGAACCGAACACAACAGCAATTAGGGGGGAAAGGGAGAAGAAAATACGCCATTTTCAACAAAAAAATAATAATCTTACGGCATAGATGAACTTGACAAATACAACCACCGCTCCTCTCCCTCTTCCCCCTCCCGCCTCATTTTTAAAACCTCTCCCGCCTCTCATCTCGGGGGTGCCAGACTCAATTGTTCTCGTTATTCTACCGATAGCCGCCTATTGGGTGCTCTCCCTGTTCTTCCACTTTCTCGACGTTTATGATCTACTCGCTTCTTACCGACTACACACACCTGAAGAAGTCCTCAAAAGAAACCACGTAACACGCCGTGAGGTAGTGCGAGATGTAATAGTACAACAACTCATACAAACCATTGTCGGGCTTGCTATCGGTGTATCAGAGCCAGAGGAAATGATCGGAGGGGAATGGTGGGAGATAATGGACTTGTATTCCAAGTTTGTTTCGGTCGAGCGATGGGTTCTACGCGGTCTTGCAGCTACTGTGGGCATTGACGGCCTTGCGCTAGAGGATAAGGTGATTGCTAGGATCGTCTCGATCGGTGGCGGTAAAGTGCTAGCGGGGTTGTTGGGAGTGTTGGGCCTGGACGGGCAAACAAGTTCCTCACCAGAAATGGGAGACTGGAGATACAAGCTCGTGGAAATCGCCTACTGGTATCTCTTGCCTGCTGCCCGCTTCTGGGTTGCAATCTTCATCATGGATACATGGCAGTACTTCTTGCACAGACTCATGCACGAGGTTAAATGGCTTTACAGTAAGTGCTCTTACATGTACCATGGCAAGAAAGTCCTGCGGTTTGAACTAACGCGGCAAACCCACAACCCAGGAACCTTTCATTCTCGCCATCACCGCCTCTACGTTCCTTACGCGTTTGGCGCTCTCTACAACCATCCCTTCGAAGGCCTCCTCATGGACACGATCGGAGCAGGAATCGCCTACAAGATCTCAGGTCTTAGAATCCGCGGCGCCATGACCTTTTTCACATTTTCGACCATGAAGACGGTTGACGATCACTGCGGATACGCTTTGCCCTTTGATCCTCTGCAGTACTTTTTCTGGAACAATGCAGGGTACCATGATGTGCACCATCAGGGCTGGGGTATCAAGGTTTGCTATGTGCTGTCCCCCGCTCGTGCGGAATGCTAACCAACCAACCCGCCAGACAAACTTCTCGCAGCCTTTCTTCATCTGCTGGGACCGCTGGCTCGGAACTCAATGGACTGGCGGTGACGTGTCAGCCCGCTACGCTGCATCCCGTGAGAAAGCCGCAGAGCAACTCGCGAAAGATGGGATTACTCCAAAACAAAAAGGGAACACTAGTGCCAACATTCCCGAGAAAGGAGTAGGCTCCGCTGCCTACACAAACGGCGGGGGAGCCAATGGTCTAAGGTCGAGAATGCCGAATGGGAAGCTAAAGGTGCAGGCCGATGAGTCGAGACGACAAGTCCTCGACACAGCCGGCGCAAGCGTATTACGAGAGGAGAGAAGCGAAGAAACTGCCCCCGAGAATCTACGTCTCCGGACTCGAGTTAATGGGATCGTTAGGTAGACTAACGTTTCGCTCATGGAACCCAATAGATGCTGAAAAATCTTTTTCTTTTGCCAAAAAAATTTAGCCGGGGCGTGCTACGGATTGGATTGGATAGGATGGTGTGGATAAGGAAGGCTAAAGTAGGGTTAGGGGGTTATGTGGAAAGAGTAGCAACTATTATCTCGGATCCGTGTTTTTTGGATCCCTCTTTATTTGTCCCCCCGGGATTACTTTTGTCTATTTTTGTGTTTCCAGCAGTATGACACTTTCTTACCCCTACGTCACGTTTTCGCCCATATCTTCCACCTACCTACCTACAACCCACAACTCTAACATTTAAGTTGTTTACTATCACTTCTTTTTTTTTCAATTCCCGGCCTCATCATTACTTTCTCATCTTCATCATGTTCTTGCTCCCCCTCCCAAATTACCAGTAATAGGACGACTGATCGACAGGCACAGCACGACAGACTAACTAATAATTCACCCCCTTCCCCTCCCCTTCCCCCCTCCCTCGTTCTCGTACCTACGAGGAATCTTGATGATACCCCACGGTACCCTTCACACATTCACTGAAACCGTTACGCTCTGTGTACCCATGGCCCTAATAACCCCGTGTTTTAATCTTTTTCCTTTTTTGGCCATGCCCATGTATTATCACACTTTGCTATGGATGGGTTTTTGATTTTTCCCTCTTGCTTACTTTTTCATGTGCTGCTCTTCAGCATGGTCTCCCGTTTTTTCATTTTCTTTTTGGAATGGAGTTTGGTTTTATTATTTCACTTCTATTCTATTGCCCGGGGTTCATGTCAAGGAAGTTGAAAATTTGTAAGCGGTAGTCTCAGTTAACTTATCATAGTCAGAATACGTACGGCACGTTCTTTATCGAGAGTGACGCGATTGTTTATTATATTGTCCTTTCTCCTTGCCCACCCTCACCCCAAGATGTGTAGTGCAGCAACGGTACCGTCCAGCTCCCGGGATCATTCAGTCACTCTTCCTACATCAAAAGTGACCAATTTCACAAGCGCACGACAACGCCATTCTCACCTCAATTGATTTTATATCACCCCAGGTTATCAGGCACAAGTATGGACCTCACGCTCCTTTTCCTAGTGCAGGAGCCAATTCACAGTGAGTTGCAGCCACCGTAAGAGTAAGAGGGCACGCCGCAAACCGCCCAGTTCCAGGCTAGCCAGCTACAGGTGCATTTTTGGAATGATTGGTGTTGGGGTTCCTGCAGCGCTGCCTATCTCCAGTAGGTGGGGTCATATTCCACTCCTGGTACCATTTCACCAGTGCCAATACTTTACCCGACGGCGACTTTTACATCTCGGTAACTCGGGCTAAGTGCTACAGTACCGTATATTATCATAAATTCCAGTGAAGGAAAAAAGCCTGTGCGGGTTCCTTGCACTGGCACCCACCGGGGCACTCATGTAACGCCCTCCTAGCTCGTCCTATCATATCATACCCTCATATCATACATACCGCACGGTACCGCCGTGAGCATCGTCATCACCATGATCACCGTCATCGCCCCGGAGCACCTCAATAGGCCATGAAATTAAAGCGCTGGAGCCCAAGCCGTCGATCCATCCATGTGCTCGTATCTCCCCATCAATCATAGCAAAATCTCCCCAGATTCGCCTCCCTCCCCCCTCGCGTCTTTCTTCACTCCCCTTGCTTTTTTCCCCCACCACGACGTGAACGAACCTCACCGGGCCGGTACCGCATTATACAGTACCGCTGGAGCACCCGTTAGAACCCAGGTGTTGGGATACCGTGTTTTATTCCTACAAGTACGAGTACAGGTCTGCGTGATCTAAGCTCGGTGCCGGCGCCCTCTTAAAGTGCTCTACTCGAGTACTGGTGCGAGCATGTTCACCCTGGTCTCTGGAGTCGGCACGTTGCGTACGAGTACCGGACGCAGAAATCTGATTACGCATAATGGCTCTGCCGGCTGACCGGAAGTGCAGGGCTGAAAGTACTTGTACTAGCGCACGTAAAAGACGCGTTTCCGCCAAGTTAGCGTGATGTTTCCGCGCTGGCCGGCCGGTAATAATGATAAATTAAATACGAGGCCCCAGGAATGTGGGAGGAGGAGTCTTTGGTTGGATTGGATGAATTGAGCCGGTTGAGGATAGGAGCAATTAATTAGATAGGAGGGGGTTGTACTCGAGTACTAGTACAGTATGTACCGGTATCATACTGGCATGGCACGGTGGTATATTCCCCCGCGTATGAGTGATGGTGGCTCGGACTGCGGCTGTCGAAAACCTAAAAGTGAGCTGTACTCGAGTACCGGTTAGTATCAGTACGGTACTAATACAAGGGTCAGGGATAATATACAGTATTCGAGCCCCTCCATGAAAACATAACCCTTGTCCTTAACACTGGGTGCTTGCAGAAGATTATATCCGATTTTTACTAATTCACCCGGAGGTTTCTGCTGGTTCTCGATGCGCCAATAACGTACGGTAATCCACTTGCATCTCTCAACGGCGGGCTCGATTTCCAAGTTGAGGGCCGGGATATACCTTCCGGACTAAAAAACTTCTCTCTTGTGAAGAAAGTATGATAGGCCATCTATAGTATGGTGCTGGTTGTTGTACTGAGCTTCGGACCTCCCCGCTGGTTGACAGACGGTGTACCACTAAAATTTCAGTACCGGTAGTATGCAGTGGCAAACCCTAAGAAACGTGACACTAATGATCTCTACAGTACCTCCTCACGCCTCAGCCAACTCCAAAGGGACACGGCCGACGGAGGAGGTACGATACCGGTACTCGAGCACCGCACAGCCGGGGCAGGCAGGACTTGCACGGCCTCACGGGCGGGTGACGAACAGTGACCAGTAACAAGGAAAGTTTTTTTTTTCAGTTACCCTACCTGGCAGCTGGACTGATTCAATATTTTGCCTGCCAAATACGGTATGATACCCCTGTCCATCACCGCCGGCATTTGTCATATCCCCGCTGAAGACCGTGCCCGGCCTCTGATTCGATGCGAGACGGGTGCGGCACGGTATGAATGACTCCTTCCATGCACTCACCGGTATGGGGCACGGAACGCTTGCTCTCCACAAAAACTGGCCACGGCACGCCACTAACTTTTACAAAAATCAGCAGTAACACCCTGCACCGTGCCACTTCTTATGCTAAACCCTTGTACCGTAGGAGTACCGAATCCCTCCGTTGTGTATGGCTCGATGGGCGCAATAGACTGAGGTCGCGTGTTCCCTCCTTACCGCCAACGCTCTGATGTAGAAGGTTAGCGTGCTAGGACGCAATAATTGCGCTTCCTAGTAAGGCCTAGTGCATACTTGTACAATACCGGTATTCTTTTTGTCTTGTCTTAGTTGAGAGCAGGTTTGCGGTGTCTCCGCTCGTATACTCAGTACCGGTACTGTGCTCGGACTTGAACTGTACTTGTACCCGAGCAGTCGGGATTACAACGTCCTACCGGTGTCGGCAACGTATTGGACCGAGAAGCGGGGCAAGTGAATCGGGTACAGTACAGCGGAACGCACCGAAATTGTTGAAGTCCGGAAATCCCAATTGACGTCCTGCAGCAAGAAGAGAAGAGGGAGGGAGAGGGAATTCGGGAGAAATGTACTATTGTAGGAGATATTCCTGAGGGCACAGCATGTTAGGTTCGCCACTTCTTTTTCCGGATGTTTGGATCCCGGAGGGGGAGTTCTGCAGCGAGGATCTGATTCGAATGAAAATGATTCACTTCTGGGTCTGACGAAGATGCCGCTTCCCAGTCCAGAAATTCTCTGGCACGTTACTTTTGTGCTCCCCTCGAGTACGGCGCCGGTGCACTCGTGTCACCCCCTCCCGCACCAAGAATTGGCACATTTTTGCGATAGCTGCTGTTTTTGAGGATACAGTACTGTCCACTTAATAATCGTCACGTTTTTACCGTAGTTCTTGGGAATATTCGGGGACCGGGAGCGCTGTTTTTTTCTTTTCTTTTTTCCACGGGTCACGTCGTGGCGTGGTCAGAGCTCCCTCTCTAGCATTACCACATTTGGTGGAGTACTGTACCTACTTGTACAGTACATCAATCCTACCATAGCCCATGAACCACGCACGAGATTTGAAATCCGCACACGGGCTTAGAGGTGGAAAAGCCAAACTATGCCGATCCTTAGCTCAGAGGTAGGAGTACCGGTACTGTACCCGGTAGTCCACCCGTGTCCGAGTTCCAACATACACGTCCTAGATCCTGGGAGGTATCGATATCGGACGCCATGATTCATGAGAACGCTACAGCACGGGATTCAAGTCCATACCGGTACTGTATAGCAATACCGGCATTAGAGGAGTCATTGGGTCTGCAGAATCCTCACATGGAAGGTAGAGGGGGGGGTTTCTCTGTAACAATTAGCTGGTGTTACTCCGGCTGCAGGCCGCCGACGAGTTTGCTATGGACCATCGTACAGTTGCCAGAAGTCGTGGAGGGGGGAAGCCCGTACTGTAACCCCGCCCCCCGCCCCCTCTCACTTTTGTCGTCTTTATTGGTAAAGGGCAGTCAGCCGGGTTATTCTGGACTTTGGGACGGCGACGGATTCAATGCTTGCGCACTGGTCACTCACTCCCTGGCAAAGGGGTTGGTTTGCACCTCCATCCTATGGCATCTGGTACTTATGACTTACAGAAGGCAAACGGGGGACAACTTCTTCAACCACTGGTGCGGGGAGAAGCTCTGCTAGGTAGTACTAACCCAGCGCTGGCGCAATAGTACCGACGAAAAAAATCAAAGGGGGTTACACTATGATGTGGTGCAGAGGGATGGTGGAACTGGAGGTCGGAGATGGGGGAGTGGGATGAACTTTTGGCTAAAGAAAGAAACGGAAACAATAATAGGTTGAACTTGCTGGGTATCATTACTATCATAATTATGATAAACCCACCCGCTCATTTAATCATTGCTCTCTGACCCTCCTGTAACCGGCAACTCCTTCAACTGGCCCAATGTGGATCCCGCCCTTACGGTTCCCTCCATTCCCAGTACTCGAGTATATATATACAAAACGCCTCCCGCCCAAAAAAAAAAAACTAATCAGTCGGTGTCATAATCATAATATCTCACTCGAACTTAAACATTTACCGGGCTTCCAAAACTAGTCGTTAGCGATGCTCCCGGTGCCAACCTTATTAACCCGAGAATATCAACCAAACCACCCTAAAACCCTGCATTACTCGAGCACTGACTGACTGGCTGACTGACGGGTAGATGAAACCATGTGCCCCTCCACCACCCCTCCTTACTCAGACAGCAAGCCTTGATAAAAAAAAAAACGTCAGTCCCAACCAAACGGACCAAAATGCCGATTTCGTCATAATGAATCAACAAATCCACATCTATCCGAACGGGCGGGGAACACGAGCGGCTTACCGCAAACCTTAAAAACCTCCTTCCCCAGATCCAATAAAACAAACAATGAGTACCGCATCCACACCCTCCCCCCCCCCCCCACACCTTCACCCACTCTGACCACTCACAAACCCACAATGCGTGTAGACTAGCGAGGCATGGTAAGATGTACCGGTAGGCTGAGTAAGTTAAGTAAAACCCAACTGAGAAATATTGCAGAAGCTCAACTACCCGGACTTCCGAAAACGCGGGTGGTCCAAAACGTCATTCCAGGGAGGGAACATCGCCATCGTGCGCAGTGCAAACTGTAATGGCCCAAGCCTGGTATTTAACAGAGTTGTGATACATTCCTGCCCATCCAATCGGCTCCAGACTCTAGCATACTTCGCTCCACAACGGGCCCACGTGGAGGGAAAGAGGTTGTTGTGCGGGTAATCTTGGAGGAAGGGGGGAGTGTTGCAGCAAGTGAGTGTCTAGTAATTCGCTCCTGTAGCAGGTTGACTCGGGTCCCGCCAAGGGACTGCCTGTCAATAGCGTGGTCTCGAAAAGAGACAAAAAAAACAAGTGTACTGTAGACCAGGGAGCGTGAGGTGGTACCTCAGCGAGGAGCGGAATTGCCCACCATGGATAGACTATTAGGTAAATACTGCTGGAGGTCTAGCCACAGTTCAGTACCGTAAAACGCACCTGAACCCCCGGCGCCCCTTGAGGATGTTGCCTCGCTGGTGCGCCCCCCACACCGGTCTGATTAGCATACTACCCCTCGTAGGCCATTCGAGATTCACCTTTGATACTCCCGCTGCATTATTCTAGGGGATGCCTGTCTTGGGTGGTCCTCGAGATGGTAATTCCCTTCCGGGTGGCCGTGCAAGCCGCATCTATTGTGCCACTTGTAGGGATCTCAAGTAGTGGCGGGTCGCCGATCCTGGGTCTCTTCCGCTGAAGGTGGATGGGGAGGCTGTGAATGGGATAGTGTGGTTTGAATGTTTCGATGTTATGGTTGCGTGCATCAGTAACACGTAACTTAGAGCTGGGCTCGGTGGTGGAGGCACGAAGCCCCCCCCCCCCAACTTTCTTTCGAGCCTCTCGCTAGGAGTGCCCGCGAAATGCTCGAGTACTATACCGGTATGGGCGCGGATCCAAACTACCGGTACCACTTAGAACAATCACCACAATCCGGAATTGACTAACGTCGGATATGTATACTGCACGTATTGCATTTTTTTGAAAGAAAAGGTAGCTACAGCACGAAGCGGAAACATACGAGCGATAAGATATATATATAGGAAGGTAAAAAAAAAAAAAAAACATCATCTCTCGTCATCCAACATCACTCGTGTCACCTCATAACCCAGGCATGTAAGCGTATTTTTTCTGCAGCATTCATTCATCCATCGATCCTAATTTTTCCTGTCTTCCGCCTCGACGATCGTTCCGCTACGGCTCGTCCTTCCGCTTGTAATCCCAGACACGACCTCCAATCCGTCCTCGAGTTGTACCTCCGTCCTGCCAGCAAATACGCCACTACCTATGCCCCTCCATCTCTTGATCCCCTTCCAGCTCTCCACGATCATCAGATAAGCGGCTGAGCAGCCAAGGACAACACCCCATTCCCAGGTGATGGCCATGTGTTTGAACACGACGGTGTTGAAAGTTGGAATATAGATGACAGGGAATGTGATAGCGAAACCGGCAAAGACAGCCCAGAACAAGAACTGGTTGTACCAGAGTGTGTGGAAAACGCTGAAGGGTCCCTTATGACGGGCGGGGTCGAGGTTGAACAAAGAGCGGGAGAAATGCTTGACTTCCCAAGCTGTAAGGAGTAAGAGGAAGGACAGCACTGCGAATACCGTGGCACGCGCACGGAAGACGTTGCCGCAAGAGCTGTTGTAGGCGTGGTTACAGTCGTGACCAAGATCACCGCCGCCGTGCCCGTAAACAACGATGACAAAACTTATAAGGCAAAGGGTTCCCATGGTAACACCATAAATCATCTTATCGATGATAACCTCCCAGGTGAAAACACCTTGTCTCAGATCGTGAGGAGGGCGTAACATGATATCGGGCTGAGCTTCCTCAAGACCGAGTCCTAATGCCAGGAAAGAACTAGTGATCATATTGACCCACAAAATCTCCAGAGGGCTGAGAGGGAATACGGATACACCGTTTCTGTCGGCGAAAGCGAGACCAATCAATAGTAAGACGACTTGCGAGATATTCGAGATGAGAAGATGCATGATAAACTGAGACTATGTTAGAAAAATAATGCGTAAGGAGTCGAGAGGGGAGCAAGCCCACCTTCTGGATGTTATCAAACAACCTTCTACCTTCCTCAACTGCGCGAACAATGCTGGCAAAGTTATCGTCTGTTAAAACGAGATCACTGGCATCTTTAGCGACATCACTACCACTGAGGCCCATTGCAATCCCGACATCGGCCCGCTTCAGCGCAGGAGAATCATTAACGCCGTCACCGGTCATGACACAGAAGGCACCACGCCTATGCAAAGCTTCAACCATCCTGACTTTAGTAGTGGGAGAGCAACGGGCAATAACCAAAGGCAAAGCCTCTAGATTATCAATCTCGTCTTCACTAAGGGCATCGAATTGGCCAGCAGTCATAACCATCGTGGCGGCCTGAGCGGCGGGCATAGCAGGAGAAATAATTCCGACCTCGTGGGCGATCGCCGTTGCCGTTCGGATATGATCTCCGGTCAACATGTGGACTTTAACACCGGCAACCTTACACCTGCGGACGGCCTCGAAGGTTTCCAATCTCGGGGGGTCATAGAGGCCAACCAGTCCAAGGAAGTTCATTTGTGATTCCACGGCAGCACGGTTGCCGGTATCGGACTCTCCACCGGAGGGAAGAGTCTTCTGTGCCACGCAAAGAACGCGAAGTCCCTCCCCAGCAAGGCGTTCAATTCTGCTCAAGATTGCTTCTTTCTCCTCACCTGGCATGTTGAGATTTGGAACAACAACCTCTCCGGCTCCCTTCATAAATGCCTCGACGGTGTTAGTGTGTATATTCTTATAGACAACCGTCATGCGTTTGACGGTAGAGTCGAACGCATGTTCAGCCAAGAGATCCCAGTTCCCGGTGTCAATAAGAGAAGGCTTTCCATGCCCGAACCTCATAGCAAGAACTTGTAGTGCAATTTCGGTAGGTTCCCCTGACGCTATCCAGTTCTCAGTAGGCTTTTCGGAAGACATAGCTAAATCGTCGTTCCCGCGTACAACGGACAAGTTGCAAAGGGCAATGGCGTCCAAGAATCGCTCCAAGGGCTTTGATTCCTCAACCATGCCCCCATCGATAATCGTGGTTCCAATTGTCGCGATCCCACTAGTTGGGTCAAAGGGAGATGAGGTATCCTGAATACTGATGACATCGTCCAATCCAGGGACGAACGCCTTACGAGCGATCATCTTTCCTTGCGTGAGTGTGCCAGTCTTATCTGAGCAGATGTTTGTGACACCTCCGACGGCTTCCAAGGCTTGCATCTTTCGCACAATAACATGACCTTTGGCCATGGTCTTAGTACCGACTGCCATGGTGATTGTGAGGACCGCGATAAGAGATTCAGGAATGACGGCTACAGCGACACAAATTCCGTAGATCAAGACTTCATCATCGATCCTCCACTATGATTCTCGCGTTAGTATAGGACCCTGACTCACGGGGGAAAGAATAAGGCAACCTTATTTGCGGAAAAGACAATTATAGCCAAGAGTATAGCAAGACCGAACAAGAGTAGGGCAAACTTGCTCAACTTGACCTGTAACGGGGTTCCAACAAGACCGAGGACGTTTTTCATGGTCCTCTTAACCTTACCCCAGGTTCTTTCAATGAATGATTCACCCTCATCCTGTTTCTTTCCACGGAGCAGCTCGGCGATTCTTCCAACCTCCGAGCCCATTCCGGTTGCCACAGCGATTCCAACAGCGCGCCCCTTAGTGACAGTGGAGGAAGAGTAGGCCATATTGGTACGGTCTCCCAATGGGTAGTCGGCATGGGGGAGGGTCAATAGTGGGGTTTTGGTAATTGGCAAACTCTCTCCAGTGAGAAGAGCTTCATTCGTCTCAAAGTTCATTCCCTCGAAGAGTCTGAGATCGGCCGGGACGACATCACCAACGGATACACAGACAATATCACCAGCAACAATTTCTTCGGCTTTAACCTTTTCGATGCGCCCATTGTTGCGGACGACTGTTGCAATTGGTGCCGAAAGGGAATGGAGGGATTGCATAGTTTTCTCTGCGCGATAATCCTGAGCGAACCCAATGGCAATATTTAAAAGAATGACAGCCGAGATGACGGATCCCTCGATAAAGTCGAGCATCCCGTAAGAAGCTGCCATAGCAATCACAAGAACCTACACCCGTCGGATAACCATCTGTTAGCAAAGTTGCTGTGTTGTCGGTTGGGCCCCCGGTTTCCGTATTTTCTTGGACGAGGAGAGCACACTCTCGATTAATCTCGTTTCCACCTCCGGTTGGAATGAAGCAAATCAAACAATACGCAATAAATGTAGAAGTGATTCATGAGTTTGGATTTTGTCCTCTCTCTAATGAACGAAAAGGAGACAGAAAGAGAAAAGAAAAGGTCATGAGTATACACTGCTCGGTGCAACACAGTTTCCTCCCCGCGTCGATGGGTAACATCCCTTCGGAAAGACAATGATGGACACAAGAAAAAAGAAAAGAAAAAAAGAAGACAAAGAACTTTGACCAGCTCGGGGGTAAACCTCCGTGGTTGATGGTGAATGAATGTCCAATATTATCATTATTTTCATCCTGCTCCATCCAAAAATGACTGATTTTTCTTCTGTGCATAAAATGCAACTGATATGCTGCTCGGGTGTGTAGGGAAGGGATAGGTTGGGGAAATTGGGGCTTTCGGATTAGTCTCTTCTCCGGGGGATTGGGCTAAATACAGGATGAAAACAAATCTCGCTGACTTCAGGAAGGCAGAGAGGTGTATTTCAAAAGCTCGAGTACCCAATTAGGGTGAAAACAGCAAAAGAGAGAAGCAGAAAATGCTCTTTAGGCTTCAGGGGTTGAATCTTACCAAGGTCAAACTGTTCGAAACTTGCCTTACAAGCACACCCCACCAGGTGATACCCCCGGCATCGGTAAGCTTGTTTGGGCCATCTCGAGACAATCTCTCCGCTGCTTCCTTTGTGGTTAATCCAGAGCTCATATCAACGCTGTAGAGCGAAGCGAGCGCATATGGAGCGGCTGCATGTGGAGCCGCCTTATCGGCCGGGGTGGATTCATCCCCTCCGAGCGTATCAACAGCCGTCGTAGAACTCTGTCCGCTTCTTGTGTTATCATAAACCGGGCTTTGAGTCGCGGCGGGTGACGAGGGAATCCCGCCGGAGCCAATTGGCAGTGATCCATAATCGTAGACCCGACTGACCTGAAAGCTCTCGGTAGTAGTGATTTGGGGGCGGCCGGGTTCACTGCGGGTAGTCAAGTGGGGGCTAGAACTTGAGGTATTGTCTTGCCCGTTGTTTGCCGGACCCGTGTCCGGATGGTGAGAAGGGACGCCTCCTGCCGCGTTACCGACAGGAGGCGAAAATATAGGTGGGGGGTCATCACAGCCTTCCTCCGCAGCAAGGGAGTGAGTGGTGCCAGTGCCGTGCTGTAGGGCGGTTGGGGAGGCTGAGGGGAGTGGAGCGGAGAGAGAATTGGGGTTGACCATTCAATAGGGTGGAAAGGCGAGATGGGTTTAAAGGTTTGTGGGATTGAGAGGCGTTGAGAGATGGTGAAAAGGGTGAAAGAAGTTAGGGATGGATGGAAGGACGCCGGCGGCAGGGAGAGGTGAATGTGGTGAAAGAGTTGGGAGGCTCGTGAGATGGGTGGGTCTTTATAGCTTGTAGAGCGCTGACGATGCGCAAGCACACTTACCATTCTCTTGGAGATGTTTTTTTTTTGTTGTCGCCCATCAGCGAACCAGACCATGTGCCGGGTGGAAAATACCATTGGATGCCCGGGAGGGATGCCCCCCCCCCCCATCCCTGCTCGTCCAACTGCATGGTGGTGTGAACAACCACACAGGAGGTCTGCGCCAGTGCTCATTCATATTCTCTTGGAAGCATCATCACAAAATGTCCTCGGGCTCTCACAATTATTGGCAGATAGATCATGGTTTATCGCTCCTACCTCATGCACCGGGCCCGCTTCACTATAGCTTGCAAGGTTTGTATGGTATCGGTACTTGCACTGGATGCCGCAGCTATACTGGTTCGGCAGGATAGGCAAGTATCAACCAATGGATCACGACTCAATCGGGCTCTCACTAAAAGAGAGCGGTGATCGCTCGTGTACTCGAGTATTTTCGGTTTCGTTTGCCCCTGCGTGATTGAACCTACTCGTGCGGTGTCCCACAAACCATCGGCCCATCTCTCATCCGTCTGCCCGTCCACTTCACTTTTTCCAGGGTAAATATGTGAAATTCCGTATGATAATCATTGCATTTCGTGCTTAATACCCCGCATTATGGCCATCACACTTCCTACTACGGCAGACGCGGAGCTCGTGACTTTAAGCAACGCAAATGACGCATCAAGAATGTTCAAATCAGTTCCCATGGTGCCGGTACTGTATCGAACCTGCTCGTAGAGCCCATATCATATCCTCCCGTCATAAATTGGGGCGAGACATCACCACAATCCGTGGGTGCTTTCTGCATACCGCAGGGAAATCCAAAATACGCATAGGGTATTCCGGGTGGAATTGGGAAGGGAATCGGAAAATCCTATCGCGCGACATGGGGGGAGAAAGGTTCCAGAACCGGCCCTCCGAGCTGCATTCTTAGCAGAGAGTCCGTGGAAAGGGAGACATGGTCAACTAGCATGAAGTCCGCCTCTACCCAATCACCATCTTTGTCGGAGTTATGCTCTACAAGTAAATCAGCCTTAATCTAACCCGACCTAGGACCGCAGCTCAACTCCCGGAAGGGTTTAGAGCGGGACATGCCGCGGCCGTCGGTCTGCCTGAAACCTAATCAATCCAATGCTCCGGTTCGCCATGAGGAGGCGGTAAAAGTGCAACGTGATGTGTGATCAATCCAGAGGAGCAGGAATGAAAAATGGAAAGGAGAAAAAGCATTGGGATTGTCCCCCCCCACGCGCCGAGCCTCAACGACGCGGTGATACCTGGGCATCCTCAACTGCCCAATCGATGAAATCCCGCCCCATTCAAAGGCCTCCCAAGAGAGTGCCAAGACACTTTATCGAGGCGATAAGGTCGCGTGATCACTATTTGGTCTCCGAGCAAACACCGTTTTTCCCAGTGGGGTCCTTCCTTGGCTTTGGTTGCACGACTTGACTTATTTTCGCTCGCAAGCCGGACTTGACACCCGCTGAACTCGAGGTGCTGGGCAGGAAATATGTAAGGTGATATCGAGTAGGAAGCGCCGCGGTGATCAATGATATGTGTGAGCCCTCGGGTGGATTTGGATTGGGAGGGAAGGGGTCTCCTGTTTTTCCTGGTACAACATCTGCTGCAGGAGCTGCAACTTACGGGTATGGTAACTTGTGCCCAGTCCGGTCAGAAGCTCTTTCGGGGGATCGCGGCAGGCTGGACTACCCCCGAGGAAGCAACTTCTGGAATCGTCCCGCCAGTGCGCCCCAGCCACATACTCGGGTACATGTGGGTTGAGATGGGGGAGCCTCCGCCACCCCTTTGTCCAGTTCTCCGCTCGATGGCGCGGCCCGCCGACGAGCACCGTACCGTACTCTGGTGTACAAGTACTGTACCCGTACGGGTACGGAACTGTGCAGTACTCGAGTACACGAGGAGCTTTTACAGCTATGACGTCGTCTATTTGGGTAATGTGGGGGCGCCGGTGCTCGTAGTCTACTGGCACAAGCTTTCTCATGAGAGGCGAGATCTTGTTCGCGAGTGGGCTACCGGTATTCGGGTACCGTATCACAATCTCTTGTTGGGGAAGAGGATTTGCTTGTTTCAACCCTTTCTTTCTTCTTCTTCTTGATGCAACTTTCCGGGCAGCCTCGCGGGTGCTCGAGCGCCATGATGATAAACTGCCATGCCATTTCACGGCCGAGAATTCTGTTCGCTGAGGGAGCGGAAGGAGTGAGATGCGGTAGTACTCGAGTGGAATGCCCTAACTTACGGTAGACTACCGGTGCATCTTGGCTCTTCCAGTACGAGTAGCGTGCCATATCGGGCTAGTTCGCCGTCCATCAGCACGCGGCGTTTCTGGGCGGGGCTCTTGGTAGGCGTCGATACGATAAAATACCGCGTCTGCCACCGCGTAGGCCGAGAAATCCATCACCGCAATTCATCCATGTCAAGACTTTCTACGAGTAGCAGCAAGCAGGATAAATTGCACTTTGGACCCTTTCCGTCCCTCCGCGGCTCGTTCACCGTCCGCCCCATCCGCCCCTTCACCACTTTTACAACAAACAAACATTAATCGGTCTACCGATGCGGTATGCTCCATGCCATCAGTCAATCCACCGTCTACCCCCACCACCCATCATGGAATTGGTTTATAATGGGGTAAAGCGAACAAGATAAAAATAGGTATGATAGCACGGCTTATGTGGAAAAGGTCATTATTTCGTACCGAAGGCCTCATCACCCGTCGTGGTAGTCGCTCGCCTTTGATTGCAGCCCTGTTTTGTGTGAAATCCTGCACTCCTCTTCAACTGGGTCTTGAGAGGAGGGGGGGGCATTGCTAATGCGGTAGTTTGGGTCGTCCGTGTCAGAAATCTTGGGAGCAGGAGCTAAAATAGTTTTGGGAAGGTTGCAACGCGGGGAAAAACAGACCTCGCAGCTCTTGGGGGGGGGCGAGAACAAAGCGAGGGAGGTGAGGGTTTGTTTGGGCTTCGGCGCGCTAGCCGGTGCTCTTGAATATGGCGGCTCCCGAGCGAGGGGTTTACTTTCGCCCTGTCTCTTGCCATGACGATAATCATACCGTAAGTTACCCCACGGTGCTCGTGCGGTAACCCCCACCTCTAACTGATATGATCCTTAGCCTTCGTAGGCTGGATCAATTGTATTTTAGATGTCCGATTTTTTGTGGAGGGTGTCACCATCGGTCGATTGGTTCGGCAAACGGTTTCGCCCGAACCTCCCGTGATACAGGTAAACAGCGTCTTTGAAGGTATCCGGTTCGCGGTATGGAAGGGTTGGAGCAACGTGAACTTTGCTGTTCGAGACGGGCAGTTAACTTATCAAGTTGATGGACTAGAAACATTCACGTCTTGGGAAAGAGTCCTCGACTTGAATCCGGGTGGCCCTATTTTTTGGACTGCCAAGAGGTTTAGGCCTCGGGGTTCAGCAGTCGGTAGGTGAGTTATAGTGGACTAATTTTTGTGCCATATTTTCTATTATTGTTCACAGAGACTGTGCCCCAGAGAGCACCTTATGAGTGGACCGGCCGCATCAAGGGTACTCGAGTACGGTAATTTAGTCTACGATACGACTTTCATCCGAGAAACCCGATCCAAGCTAGCTAAAGTGCCGACGGCTTGGTAGGCCACCCGATAGAGTGGACCAAAGTACTACGAGTATTGTACGAGTACTTTCTCAGCACATAGTTTTTTTTATTTAGAAAAGCTTCGGATCTTGGAGGATCGGCGGATCGGCCCCAGAGGGGTGATAGTCTACTGTGCTGGTGCTATCGTATATTGGGTGCTTACTTTTCCCATACCCTCCCTTCAGCTGCTCGAGTATGAGTAGACTATAGTGTATCATAGATGGAGCCGAGTTGCAAGCGAACACCTTGCTTCGTTGATGAACACAGTGGAGAGCGGCTTTCTCTAATCCACTGGGACTCTGCGATCGATATAGAATGCACTTGAAGACACCTCGGGTCGTCGGATAGAAGCTCTCGCGCTTGGAGGTTGGTTTTGACAACCGGAACCGAGGTTTTTGTTCTTGAGTATCATACCGTCCACGAGTACTCGTAATGTACTGCACGTCGCTTGCTCGGGTACCATGCTGTACTGTACTCGAGTACCGTACCGTACTGTGCCCGTACCGGAAGCCGGGGTTTTTGGCGGATCCAGATGTTTCGCCTTTTTAGGGGTTTCGGCCTTGGCGTCGATGGACCACGCCCGTGCGGCTTCCAAACGCAAAAACGGCAAGCGTGAGGCCCCCCTGGTGTCCTGGTCGCCACCTTCTAAACACCAAAGACTCTGGTGTGAGACAGCCAAGGCACAAGTACTTGTACCTGCGACTTGCACTGTAAGGGTACAGTACCGTATTACTGTAACTCTTGGAATCCGCTACTGTACTCAGCATCTCCGTCAGAACCCTGTAATCTTCGGATTGCGCCACAAAAACCTCCAAGAAGGACTAGCATTTTCCTAGAATAGCAAAAGATCAGCCTACTAGATGGGTTGGATCTCGTTAACCGGTATTCGCAATTTTGCTAACCTGTCAAGCTAAACCTGTCGTAGGATGACGGGCTGCCGGAGATAGTGGATTCCAAGAGTTTTTACGGTACTCGGGCGGTCAGCTGCTGGCTATGTGGCTACAGCGCACACTTAGCAACGTCTCAGGCTTTGAACTGGTCACCCTGAAGCGGTAATGCCGCTATCGTCCTATACGCTTCGAGCTTAGCCTCCCCGTACGACGCTGATTCTCGAGTACCGGTGATTGTACGAGTGCCGTACAAACAGGTTAACAAAAGAAACCGTGTTTCATTGAGGAACGCAATATCGCTCTTTACTATATATAACTACAATCGAACTAGTGAACCATTATCGCACTCGGGCAACATTTGCCTCAGGCCTTCTACCGGTATTCGAACCCTCGGAAGCTTGGCTCCCGAAAGGTAAGGCCATCGCTAACTAATCCAACCTACCAGTTTGAACCAGACTTTTTCGCGTCTTGAAAGATGGTGACTCGCGACTAGTGAACATATTATTATGCCTGAGGTTGGTTCATAGGAAACAAACATGAAAGATCGATAGAGGACCTAGGTTGGCCGAAAAACACATTCGATTTCAAGAGGTGCAGCCTGTCATGAATGGGCAAATGAAAAGGAATAAAGAAAATATACATATATAGGAATAGCCCCCGTGGGCTGGGCTTCAAATTTTTTTTTTTTTGAAAAGAACAGAGTAAATAGGAAAAATCACATACTTCATTACGATAGTGTCCTCAACTTTATTTTCATCGTCACCAGTTATCACGACGGCTTTTCCTCACAGCAGATTATACAAGGAGCTTACCAATTATCGGAAATGGTAGTTATAACAACTTGGGTCCGAGTAGTTACCTCTTTCTGCCTGCTCATGGCGCTGATATTAACAGGTAGCCTCCCTACTCCCCCCCCTCCACCCCACCCCAATTAACATCCGGTAGTGTTCCTGATCTCCGGCTCGACCAACGAAACCGCTGGCGTCCGCGCTCTCTACAACATCGAGCTAAAATGGAGCGAGCCAACTACGACAACTGCTTCGACAGAAACCACGGTGCTAGCTAGTGTGGTCCTCGGCGTTGGGACGGAGACACGGGCCACTACCACCTCACAGAAGACAACCACAACAAGGCTGAGTAGCCGGGCGACGACGAGCACTGTCCCCAAGGTGTCCCCCACGACGGAGGCGGCGGCGGCAGTCACGAGGAGTAGTGGGGAGTTGGCTGTCAGAAGCCCTGCAAAGGCCACTGGTACTGCGGGCCTGAGAGGGGTTGATAGGTCGGTGTATGAGCCCGAGCGCAACTTCGAACGTTGGGAGAGAGGAAATGTTCGCCCTCCAGCCGGGAAGGGCAAGAGGCCGCATCTCGCGGTCGCAAGAACAGAACATATCAACAACCCCACGATCCACCAAATACTCCGCCCCCGCGCCTCCCCGATTTCCTCAAACGCTACAATCCTGATCTCATACTTCGGCCTATGCACATATACCCCAGAAACCCAGTGGCAATGCACCTCCCGCCGCACAACCGACAATTCCTTTAGCCCGCTCCCACCTCCCGTGCGCGCCCTCTCGAAAGCGCTCCAAAAAGCACTCTCCCCACTCCCGCCCATTCTGACAATCGTCTCCCTCGGCCTACTCCTGCTCACGACTATAGCACTTGCGTTCGTGACAGCCCTCGCTGGAACCCGTGGGACAATTCTGGGACAGGTATATCTGGGTGTCGGACTACTAGCTGTGGTTGCAGGAGTTTTCTCGGCAGTTCTGTTCTGTCAGTCTGGCCTCCTGGTTTTTGCCATTCTGGATGGTATGCAGGTGGGCGGAGGCGGTAGAGTAAGTGTGCAGAAGGGCGGGAGCGGGATTGCGGTTGCCTGGGCTGCGGTTTTCTTCGACGCAGTGGGTTTTTTGGGCCTTATTTGGCTAGTTTTGTTTGCCTCCGAGGATACTGTCACGGGTGGGGGTAGTGACGGGGGGAGTGCTGGATTGTCAATTTTTAGCCACATATTTGGTAGGAAGAAGGATGAAAAGGGGCCCGGATTAGAAGGGGACATGGACAGAGGAAGGAATTCCCCCGCCCTCCCAGAAGACGTATACCTCGGGCTCCGAGGCGGCGATATTACGATAAGTGCGCCGATGGAAGTGCGCAGGGAGGTACACCCTCTTAGGGGGAATTTTCAGAGGGAAAATCATCCCCCCTCCAGAGAGGTTGGTGGGGAGAGGGAGAGGGAGAGGGAGAGGGAGAGGGAGAGAGTTCTGAGTGTTGGTAGTGTTAGCAGTGTCAGCGCCCTTAGTGATAGTAGTAGCGTTAGAGGGGCAAATGGGGGAAGACAGGAGAGTACCATTAGCGTTGTTAGTGATTTGACTGCCGTCAGGGGGACAGGAGGTGCAGGAAGGGGAAGACTGGAGAGCGAGAGGGTGCGGAATATGAGGAGAGGGAATTCGCCTTTCCCGGGCGGGTGGAATATGATTTAATTTAATTGGTAACCTGGGCAGCATTTGCAAGAGTTATATCATATGGTGGGATTTTGCGTTTTGCGTTTGGCAATGCTTTTGTTGGATTTCATTTGTTTGTTCTTATTTATTTCATCTCTCTGGTGGGCTACTTCACCATGTCATTAAATTTTAATAGCTGTTTTTTCGGCGAGTTTCGATACTCTAAACAGTCTTAGTTTATGTAGATTTTCATTGAAAATTCCTATACGAATTAAAAGACAACTTCCAAAGCGCAGAAGAAATCACATTTGTCAAGACCGATTTCAATAGGTTATGAGCCCGGAGAGCTCATAAGACACAGTTCATCTCCCCGACCTTTCCCTAGGCGTAAACCACCGAACCGCACCTTGCTTGTAAAATCAGGGCTCACCTCATAACCTCTGCCGAGGGATCAGCCAAACGGAGGAAAGCTCTCCCCCGGGCTGCTGCCGTCGCCGGTGCGAGTCGTGCGGGACCCCAGAAAAAACCGGACTTTGAAGATTCAAAGTCCTCATATGTCACCTAATCTTGTACCTGATATGCTGTATTTATATTAGCACCTAGCTGGTGTAGATAAACTACTCTGAACCTATTCCTTTTTCGGGAGTAGGAAAGATCTGCCGAGATAACCTCCTGTTATCCAATATACTCGGGTACTTCCATTTGCGCGGGACCGCCGAAGGAGGGGGAAAGGTCTACTCGTAGAGCCTTTCGCTTTGATCTCTTTCCTCATTCCACGGTGGTCTGTAGTTAGTGTTACTAACTTTAATCCCCACAACGTCACTTGCCGTAAGCCAACCGAAGGGAATCGTTATCTACCCCACATCGATCACCCCCGAAACGGCACGACTGATAAGCTACGCACCGTGGGCCCCTGCAGTTTCGCCTTCACAATATATTAGAGATCCCCAGTATTTATTTATTTATTACTGCTTTTATCATTACTGCAAGTACTCGAATGCAAGAGAAACGTGCTAGGACGTTGTACTTGTCTCTCGCAGTGAGGAGATGTGTACAGTACTTTTTTTTTTTTTTGTTATCGCAACGGAGGGCTATGGCTGAGGTGATCTCTCCTCCTCGGGGAATTTCATCAACCTGGCGCGCTTCTCTCGTGTTCGGGTACAGTATGATACTTGCGGTACTGGAGTTGGGGGGAAGGAAATACTCTTTTGAATTAAGCCCTGGTTCCATCCACGGCTCGTTGGGTTATCTAAAGGTGGGCATCTGCACAAAGCACTTGATGCAAGATCTTCGCCGGTAGTGGTACTAGTCTTGACTTAATATCAGAGGGTGCGCCGTGCTGTGCCGTACAAGTATTATCAAGTGGGCGGATTCTAAAGTTTTGTCGTATCGTACCTGGGGACACCTCCCGGCATTTCGTATGATCGGAACGGGAGACGGGAAGTTTGGCTCGGCTCGGCCTTTACGATTCAAGCCAACGCGCTGGAACAGCTTAGGATTTGTAACTTTATGTATTCACCGCGGGTTTCTGCCCCCCCCCCCCCCTCACCCTTCCGCAGAGCCGTGTTGTCTAAAGCCACCTGGTTCCTCACCCCCCCCCCTCTTTTTCCTCCCCTGTTGTGGTATATGATATATAATCTCCTTTGTTCAACCGTTAGTCCTAACTTTGGTTCTTATACTCGGATTATCACTCGCAAGTTACGGCGCCACCTACTGAAAGGCTATCGCACACACCGCCTTTAGATCACGGAGATTTACCGCTGCTGCTGCTGTTTCTACCAATAAATTTAGTCTCAGGTGCGAATTGAGGAATCCTAGTTAGGGTTCTAGGGGAGACTACATGTCGATTTCGGGGAATAAAAGCTGGTTTCCTAGAACGTATATATGCATCTAGGTCGAGCGATGTACACTAGTTTCCAAATTAGCAAAACAAAACGGAACAAAACAAAAATTACCCTTTAGATCCCCTGAAAGTGGAATTTCCGTGTGTTTGTATACGGTGACCTAATCGCAAGCGAGTAGTTAGCTTATCGGTCAAGGCTGACTTACGAATTTGCTTGGTGCCCTTTCTATATACCAGCCCCCCCCCCTTTTTATTCGAAGCATGCGATATAATACCATACTTACTATCACACATGGGTAACAATAGATATTGGGAATACAATTTTTTTCTTTCTCCCATTGGGATCACAAATGCTCACTTGACGGTCCCCCAGAGACGGGTGCAGAACAGGAGAAGTGTCTTAACATTTGTGACTTGTGACTTCGTGTAGGGGAATTGTGCGCAACTTTTTAGGACGGGTGTTATAGCTGGATAAACTATCTCTCACTCAGTCCTCCCTATATCTTGCAGAATTACAATATGGGCACCAATTCAAAAGTTTTCGTTCGACATCGTTTGAACGTTGAAGATGGTAGAAAGTGGTTTTTCGCTCGTTTCCCTGATAGCACAAATAATAAGTAAAAGCACTGCACCTATCGTCTACAATTGTATGAAACAGGTCTAAAAGTGACTTTTGATTTTGTATGGGGCTCTGTGAAAAAGGTGCTCTACGCAGAAACCTAATAGCACCCACCCACTTGGATCGCGTTCTCTCCACTGCTCTATAATTTCCCTGAACTCTGTAGTGTTTTTCATACTATCTACGGGATTGCTGGCGCCCTCTGAACTTCTGGTGGAGGATCGGACGGAGGCTTTTGGTCTAGTATGAAAAGGCCCCCAAGAGTGCCCGATGGGGCTCCCACGAAACCACACTGGACTCACATTCTCACTCCATCCCACCGCCAAGTCGTAGGAGGCCCTGGGGTGTGGACGTGCATAGCGAAATAGTCTCATGCGCAACCCCACCGCTGATCCGCTCGACCGACCTATCTTTGGCGAGAGCTTGTCAATGATAATCTGTGGTAGGTTTCCCGGCCCGGTCTCGGGACATAACGGAGCGGGAGTGGCCGGTTTTCTGAGTCGGCACTGCAATGGCATAAATGGATTTAGTATTATAATCTGAGATCAGTACAAATAGTAAAAAAGAGAATTCTAATATTCCCTACTAGACAGGGGAATTGTGTTTTCTTCAAAGAGAGAGAAAACTGGAAAGTAGAGGTCTCTAGAATATAACTGCAGTTTGGCGTGGAGGGGTACCTAGCATGATGTTCCAGAACAACGGCAACGTTATGGGGCTGGACAAAAAACTTGATTGGAACCTTAAACTACCTGAGTTAGATTACCCGGGTTTTTTTCCCCCCTTGCGAAAATTTCGCTCCAAACCTTGGACGCTTACCAGGTAAGTTCCGCGAAGGTTAGAGGCAACAACTGTGGTACATATGGGATTCTGATATCTGCAACCATTTTTTTCTTTTTCTTTCTTTCCAGATGGCATGATTGTCCAGTCGCGTGGTCCCCATGCTGCGGCTCTCCGTAGTTCCAAATTTTTGCTGAGCCGACGGGGAGAGAAGGGCGGCATTTTTTAGGCGGAAATGTGGCCGGGGTAATTGTAATTTTAAGGTTTGAGAGGTGGATGGATAGCTGGTGACTTGCGAGGGTTAAATAACTCACGAGGCTTCCGGGGGTTTATCACGCGTGGTCGGATGCGAGTCTTGATCGGAGTGGAGGAAACTGAAGTCGTACATCGGGAGTTATATACCTCGTTTTCGGCTTGCCGGCCTTTAGCCTGTGAGCGGTTTATTGGGGTATAGTGCGGGCGGAGGAACTTCATGGTTCGTCACTCGGGAAGTATTGGGCATTGTGGGCAACGGGTAGGGTACGGGGTGGTTGGTTAAGCCGAGCTTAGGGGTGGTGTCATGGGTAACTGCCATAACGGAGTGGGCATAACATAAACCTTGAGGTATCGATCGTATCGTAGGCGGGGGGTGTGGTAGGATATCGCGCTATGCCCCCGCCACCAGGCCCGGAGACGAGCTGAAGGCCCGGGCGGCTGGCCACACTCCCCTTGGGGGGTTGTTTATGCACTGGGAGGGGATCCTACTGGAGTTTATCGCCAAATGAAGACCTGAAAATCCCGAATTTTTTTTCTTTCCAACTCACATTTTGTGAACATATCTAAGCCAACACTTTTTTTTTTTTAGTAGCTAGCTTGTCCTAAGTGGCATGCGTAATGTCTAGCGAGGAATCAGAGGACTTAGGCTACCCGTGTGGGTTAGTTTGATATATCCATTGTATAATCCGAGATGCATAGCAGTTCCTAGAAACCTGCCCGAGAGGCCTATTGGCTATCCTCCCTTTAGGCCCCCTCCGTGGGACGAACGACCGCCTAAAATCCAATCCCTACCGATTCCCAGACCGCAAAGGATTCCGCACCCCTCACCTCGCCACGTAATGTTTTTTTTTATTTAGAGGAAGAAGTATACTATTCTAGGACAGATACTATTTGAATTTGCGAGGATATCGGTACCGAATTCCTCCGACGCGAGCTTGTGCTTTTAATCCTTTCTATTCTAATTATGGTCGGTTGTTATAGTCTCTCTTGCTAGTATGCTCCTTTCTGTGGCTAGATTTTCTAAGGCGTTCAAGGAGCTAAGCCAATGTGATAATTGGAATATTCAAAACCAAAAACCTAAAGAGGGGGGTCAACAGATGATGGAGCCTAGAAGAGCCGGAAGCTGGGTGTAAAATAGAAGTGTCTAACGAGGGTAGAGATCGTGGGGAGAAAGAGGACCAAGAAAGCGACCGCAGGGGAAAAAGGAAGGAAAAAATTAGGAAGCAGTCGGAGAAGTCAGAGTAATTCATGGGAAAGGAAACACGAGGAGTGGTGGCCAGTGTGGGGGCTGGGGAAGCTGTGACTATCTTTGTGTTCTGGCGACCGCAGAGTAATTTTTCCTCCCTTTTTGTCTGAACCAAAGCCATCGTGCAAGAAGGGATGGGAGCTGTGAGCCTCACGTGACTACGTGTGTCCCCCTGTATTCACTTATCTGTTAGGGACCCCCGAGGATGTGTATTTGTGCGATTATGAAAGCACTACTCATGAGAGGAATGGATCGATGTTTGTTTGTTTGTCAGAGGAAATACCGGGGGCGCTGGGGCC